TGTGTTTCCCTCCCCGGTCCTATCTTGTTTCATTTTTTCCTTCCTTAGCCCCCACAACCCCTCACCCTGCATCTTACATTCCTCATATCAGAAAGCTCATATGATAATTGTCTTTCTCTGATTGACTTACTTCACTTAACATAATATGCTGTAGTTCTATCCACATCGTTGCAAATGGCAAGCTTTCATTTTATTTGATGGCTGCATGGTATCCCATTATACACACACACACACACACACACACACACACACACACATATACACACACACACTGCGTCTTCTGTATCTGTTCATCTGTTGATGGACATCTAGGTTCTTTCCATAGTTTTGGCCAAAAATTTGAATGAGCCTGGAAGCAGATTTCTCTCATCTTCGGAAAGGAGCACAGCCCTGCTGACAGCTTGATTTCACCCTGTGAGACTCTGAGAATCCTGCTGTGCCTTGCCTTGGACTCTTGACAGAACTCTTGATAATAAATGTCCCTTGTTTTTGAGCTGCTTAAGTTTATGGTGGTTTGTTACACAGCAATAGAAAATGAATTAAGTGTAACTGCCACCCACATGAAGATACAGAATGTTTAGTACATATAGAATATTTCCAACATTCCAGTGTTCCCTGTATTTAGAAATGATTGAGACTACTAATACTACTATAGTATTAGACTTTGATGACAGCCCTTCAAAACAACTAGTAATTTAACCATTTTGTAGATAATGAGACCAAGTTCCAGAGACTCATTCAGTTTGACATCTACTTTGTGTCCGATGCTAGACCAGACTCTGAGAGATGCTAGACCAGACTCTGAGAATACAGGGGATTAAGATGAGAGTTTAAGTGATTTCTGGGGTCTCACATTGGGGAGGTGGAGCCAAACATAAATCAGAGCCTCTGACTCAGGTCTGGCCCCTTTTCTGTGTCTCTTAACCCTGCTTGGGAGGTGTGGTGGAGGACATCTTGCTGTTCGGGTTTGTCTGCAGTAGTGGAATCCATCAACTCTCTAAAATCTAAATGCATCCAAACGATGGAGTGAATGATGAAACACTGTTGGATGTTGGTGAAAACCAGACCGGTGCTGTAATGGATGACACGTCACTCTGATGTTGATGTGGTAGCGTAGCAAATTGGACAAAACTACTTTGAAGACAAGTGCTTTCCAGTTGTTGGAAAAAATACTTCCTACAGAATACATTTTATTTGGCTAACTTAGAAAATCAAAGGGCTCATATCCTCCATATACAATCTAACTAACTGATATCATTTGGGGGTAGGAAGCCCACCCCCACAACTCTATCCGTAGTGTAATATATGCCTTTGTAAACAGTATAGCCCTGACCGCTAGCTGTCCCTATAACTCTTTGAGAAACTTTGGCAAGTCACTCTGTGACATACTTTCTTCACCTTTAAAAGATATTTAGACTAGCTATTATTTGAAGTCCTTTTCAACATTCTTTAAGTATGTAGGTATTTCTATCTATACCTACTTATAGCTTTCCTCTATAAAATGCTTAGCTTTTGGAGGACTAAAGTATAAAGAAAAAAAATTAAATTTCCATGATTTTCTAGGGGGACTCAAGGGTAAAGTCACACCCAAGCTACAGTAATGACTATGTAGCCAGGACCTTCTCACAGTCCCAGCACTTGACAGGGTATCCCTAAATAGCTCCACACATGACGTCCTCATTTCTTGTCTCCCTGAGATGGCACCCTAGTGTTCCTGTGCCCACTGTGTTCCCTAATGCAAGGAATTGTTTGATTCTTTTTCTTTGTCTTGTCTTGTTTTTCCTCTCATGAACTGTACATTCTCCTTTGGCCTACCTTTTCCTTTTCTTTGTTTTGTAGGTAATTCCATGCTGAAAAATTAAGGGACTTGTGCATAACATGTACTTACACACACCTCCCACCCTTAATTCATACTGTATCTCTCACCCAGCTCTTTCTAGATAGTTTAGGGAATTTTTTTTTTCTCTGCATTTTCTCTCTCATTTTGTCTAATTTGTGGCCCAAATAGCCCTCATTTTGGCTAATGAATGACATGGGATGACCCCCTTTGGAGGAAAAGATAAGCTATGGGTTTTAAAAAGAAGCAAATACTGTTTAGAAAAGCAGGGACCTTACTTGCAAGTAATCGAAACTATCCCTTCTGATTTTGCATAAAGATCTTCTCTGCCTTTATAACGACCCCCAGGAAAACTTCTTCCTTCATTGTCAGTATTTAAGATAACTGTAAAATTAAGTAATAAGTTATTTTTGTTTTAAAATTACTTAAAAAAGATTTAATTTATTTATTTGTCAGAGATTGAGAGAGAGAGAGCACACAAGCAGGGGGAGCAGCAGGCATAGGGAGAAGCAGACTCCCCGCTGAACAAGGAGCCTGATGTGGGACTCCATCCCAGGACCCTGGGACCATGACCTGAGCCAAAGGCAGATGCTTAACCAACTGAGCCACCCAGGCATCCCAAAATTACTTTTATTCCACATGCATAGTACATTAGGGTTATATATTCAATTTTAGGGACTTTTACATTTTATGTGAAAATTTTGAGATCCAAGGAATGCTGACTTTGAAACAACTTAAGACTCCTTAAAGTCTTATTAAAATAGGAAAGTTGTTGGGATGCCTGGGTGGCTCAGTGGATTAAGCATCTGCCTTCAGCTCATGTTATGATTTCAGGGTCCTGGGATGGAGCCTCACATCAGGCTCCCTGCTCAGCAGAGTTTGCTTCTCCCTTTCTTTCTCCTTCTGCTTCTCCCCTCTGCTCCTGCTCTCCCGCAAATGAATAAATAAAATCTTAAAAAAAAAAAAAAAAAAAAAAGGAAATGTGTTTGTCTCAGCTGACCATAAGAGGGCAATGTAGGTTCATGTATTTTACTTTAAAAATATGCTCTGTTATCTAGTGCTGCATGTGTAAAGAATTAATGGCAGTAATTGATTTGCTTTGCTTGACTTAACTCTGGTAATAAATATTTGAATGGAAATGGTAATTGTTTCTTGTGTGATATATGCTTTTCTTTATAACATGTATTTGACATAGAATAGCCAAGTCTCCTAAATTAACCATGGTAAAAATGGTAACTTCAAAATCACTCTTAATTCCCAGACTAGTAAATGTTTTCTTTGGGCCCCAGGTGTCTTCTCTAGAGCTCTCTGCCTTTGTAAGCTTCACGTGCTGATGTAATGAGGGAGCTTTGGGCAGGGTGTGGTAACATAGTAAAGCCACACTTCGTGACATGGAGAGAAATTGTTTTTGAATAAGCCAGATATATATCTACCCCCCCATTTTTCCTTTGACAATCATATTCTCCAAGTAAAGTTTTTATTTTCCTCCCTCCCTCTCTCTCTCTCTTTCTTATAAAGTTTAAAAAAAAAATGCTGTTTACCTTTCTGCTTAGGCCCTGAACCTTCAAAGAATTAGCAGCTGCCTAATTTAAAAGATGAAATTTGTACTATCTGTCAAATAGGGCATCTTCTTTGAAGAGAATAAAACAAAAATGATTTTGTGTAATATGAATAATATCAATATGATAAACTGAAAATAGCCACAAATACGGGACTCATAGTTAAATTGCTGAGTCGTATAAACATTTGGATTTCAAATTGTGGTTTAACAGGTGAGACTGCAGAATTACTGGATTATGATAAGGTTGGAGACTTGGGGTGTGTAAGGAAGTGATGTCAAGTAATTGGTGGTTTTTGAAGATTGTAGATTCGAATAAGTGTTGGAAATGAATAAGTGTACAGCTTCAGGAAGAAAGCCAAACAGAAAATGGCTGCCATCTACAACCATCTTCTTTTGAGTGGTGATGTAGCACGGTGGTTAGAACGTGGGCTCTGGGGCTCACCAGCCTGGATCAGGTCTTGGCTTTGCCACTTATGAGCTCTGGGTCTAGGTCAAGTCACTTAGCTGTTTTGAAAGGTAGGGGTAACAATAGCACCTACCTCTTAAAGGGTTATCATGAGCATTGAATGAGATAATATGTTTAATTACAGAGTAAACTCACAAGAAATATTCGCCCTCCCAGTCTTTTTATTTTGAAGCATGTAAAGTGTGTTGTTTCTGCAGAAGCATTTTCTAAGGGAAGTGTTAGGGCAGAAGGATGTTGACTCTCCCTCTGAAACGTGTGCTGGCACTTGTGTCATCATGTGTAGTGAGTACACACGGCTGCTCCATTTTATCTTATTTTACAAAGATTTTATTTATTTATTTGTCAGAGGGGGAGAAAGAGAAAGAGAGCCTACAAGCAGGGGGAGCAGCAGGCAGAGGGAGAAGTGGGCTTCCAACGGAACAGGGAATCTGATGTGGGACTTGATCCCAGGACCCCAGATCATGACCTGAGCTAAAGGCAGACAATAAAGTGACTGAGCCACCCAGGCACCCCTGCTGCTGCATGTTAAATACTGTTCATTGTGCAAAAAGACCTTCTGAGCCTTCTGTGTTCTGGGGAATAATTCCTTAGAGTGTGTAGATTTGGTTTGTTCTCTGTATTAAGTGGTGGTTTTCTGAATTCATATTTGATTATAGGACCCATAGGTTAAAACTTCCCTTTTAATAGGCTGAGCAAAAGACTGATCTAGCTATACAAATGTAAAATATAAATTTAAGGTGTGACTTACCTCGTAGGCTTTTGTATGAGAAACTTAGTCTGGGATAATACTGGACAGTATTTATATCTACACATTTCCATGGTATTTGCCTGCTTTTATTTTTGGCTTTGATAGAAACATGCATAATCAGAGGGGAATGCTCAAGGTCCCCTTTTCCCCTTCTGTCCACCAATACCCTCACACACATTTCAGATCTTCCTATTTTTGTGCAAAGGAGAACCTTTTGTAGCAAGGGGAAAGTCTGGGATTTCTCTGAGTTGTGATGACAGGAAATCTTACCCATATACAAGAGGGCTAACAAATATAGGGACATAATTTTGTTTCTTGGAGCATTTTCCATGTAGAGTTTGTTGGAGGAGACTTTCAGAATATCTTATTTTTTCCTTTTTCTTTTCAGAAACTAACAATCTAGAAATATCACAAGGCTCAGGAACTTTTCCTTCTGGATATTATTACAAAGATCAGTGGAGGCCCAGAAAGTTTAAGATGCGCCAGTTTAATGACCCTGACAACATCACAGAATGCTTACAAAGAAAAGTGGTGTACTTATTTGGAGATTCAACAATCAGGCAATGGTTTGAATACCTTACTACATTTGTTCCAGGTTGGTACTTTACATTTTATTTTACAACTCTTGTCCACATGCACAGAATCAGCTTGCTTCACTCCAGTGCCTGAGGAAGGGCACCAAGGAAGTAGTTATTTCTCTGTAGGACTAAAGAGGTATCCTAACCCTGAAGAGCTGTGTGATGGTTTCTGATCCATGGTGGGGTTGACGTATTGATGGAAGCACTGGGTCCATGGTGAAGTTTCATACCACTGATTAGCTGTGTGATCTTGGACATATTATTGACTTAATGAAGGACTTCTCCGTCCTTCATTTCTTCATGCACGCAATGAGGCAGCAGGACGGTGTTACCTTACAGCAGACCCTTACTTTTGCTGTTCTGGGCTCTACAACAGAAGTGGACATTTCCAATTGTTTCTCTCCTAGTTGTTTGCTCAGACTCCAAGTTTGTAATAGATTTCACTGGAAGGAAGCAGACAAACTGACTATGGTCCATTTTAATGCATCCATTCAGCAAAACCTTTCCAGTGTCGTCTGTTGGGCATACCATTGGTATGATTCTGAGATGAGCGGGCTCCTACTGAGGGAGTCTTGATCAGTCCCAGCATTCTTAGCTTCCCGATTTCACTGCTGGGCTCTGGGGGTGCTATCCAGACTCAGAATAAAACCCCACTCACTGGAGAGCCATCCGTTATTCAAGGGCCTTTTCCTCCTCGTGGAAGGTGTGTGGATGGGGTTAGGAGAGATGAGTCCCAGGTAACAGCACCAAAGACCCTGCTTACAATTTAGAGAGCTGACAAGTAATTCTGTGGGAACTATTTTTGAGGGCTGTGTATGGCAGGGCTTTACACAAAGCACAGTCCCCTAGTTTTGTTATGAGTTGTTGTTGGTATTTTTTTCATCTTTTTTTTTTTTTTTACATCAACGTAGTTTCAGACTTAATTTTTAGAAGGAAAGGAAGAAGTAGATATGATCCCCAAAAGTAGAAAGTTAATTCAAGTTTTCGTTTTGCTTGTTTTTTTGAAATAGGCATAGCCGACTTTAGTCAATAAAGCATGAATTAAAAACTAGAAAAAGAGATATAATTTGTATGGCATAATGCTAAACATGTTTTACTGCTGGCTAGGCAGATTCCTCCAAGAATCTGTAGTTGTTTGTTTCTTAAGTTATAATGACGTAGCTCATTATTTCCTTTCATCGGAGTGATCACATTGAGAGTCTTGTTTCCCACCATATCCTTTGCAGACAGATTTTCATCTGATAAAGCCTTGTGTCAGTGCTTGATCTTAAGATCAAGAAAAATGGTAGCTTGAGTTTATTCAACTTAAGTGGGGCCAAATGCTAAGTAGTAATGAATCAAGTAGGAAAATCTAAAAGAGGAGCCTGAGACTGCAGGAGAGAAAAGTGACACCTTTAACCTGTAAGAAGAATGTACGCCAATTATAGTGTGATGTTACTTCTTCAGAATTGACTGTGTACCTCTTGAGATCAAGGACTGTTGACTTACCCATCTGATCCTTGCTGGCTTATGGCACTGAGTAGGTACTCAGAAGTGCTAATTGACTTGGGTTGCCTGAAGTTATTTAGTCTGTTCTCTGAAAGGCACTTGTAGGAGCATTTAAGTATAAGAGACAGGTCCTCTTCCCTTATGGGGCTTATGTTAAGTGACGAATTGTATAGACAGAGTTTTTTAGGGTTAACAAAAGAGAAATAATCACTGATTCCTGGGACCTTCAGAAGATCTCAGAGGAGCTAAACTTTGAAACACCACTTAGATAATGGGGAGGAAGAAGGGAATTCTAACTTGTACAGCTGTCCTTGTTATTCTTGTGACAGAGATAGACGTTCTCTAAGATATTAATATGATTTTCCATCCATAGGGTGAAATAGAAAGTCAAAAGAAACAGGGTTGCTCCTTTCTTTCATGTATTGCAAAAAGAGGTATTTGGTTACTATTATATGTTCTTAAAAAAGCAGAAGTTAGAGCCCTTGTCCTAGAAGAAACAGTATTTGTCCATTAGAAGAATAATGTGTAAATGCCAAGTTGATTTTTAAGATATTCAATAGTCGGTGCAAACAGGAAGATATCTTGGCCTACTGGTTAGAGGTAAAGAGGTTATTTTGCTTCTGAGGTGTACAGACATAGGTATCACTGATAGTTTAAATAACAAATATGTTAGACTAAAGGTCTATTGAGGCCAGTGAAATAATTATTCCCTTTACACTTGTACCTTTTTGTTATGCTTTTATTTAAGAAAAAGTTCTTTTAAGCTGCTAAGTATAGAATGATCATAATATATGTGCTTGGTTTTATGAATTTGAATTTTATGAATTTGAGTTTTCCTTGTTTCAGATTTAGTGGAGTTTAACTTGGGTAGTCCCAAGAATGTGGGTCCTTTCCTCGCGGTGGACCAGAAGCACAACATCCTGCTCAAATATCGCTGCCATGGTCCACCCATCCGTTTTACAACTGTCTTTAGCAATGAGCTCCATTATGTGGCCAATGAGCTGAATGGCATCGTGGGAGGGAAGAACACCGTGGTTGCCATAGCTATATGGTCTCATTTCAGCACCTTCCCCTTGGAAGTGTACATCCGGCGGCTCAGGAATATCCGTCGAGCCGTGGTCCAGCTCCTGGATCGAAGCCCTAAGACCGTGGTAGTCATCCGAACAGCCAATGCCCAAGAGCTGGGGCCCGAGGTGAGCCTCTTCAACAGTGACTGGTACAACTTTCAGCTGGACACCATCCTCCGTAAGATGTTCTCAGGGGTTGGAGTATATCTCGTTGATGCCTGGGAGATGACCTTGGCTCATTATTTACCCCACAAGCTACATCCAGATGAAGTTATTGTGAAGAACCAACTGGACATGTTCTTGTCCTTTGTGTGCCCCGTGGAGACCTAGCCCGCCCTGGAGGGGACTGGAGGAATCACATTACCTGTGTTATAGGAAGTTTATGGCTGGCCCCATGGAGAGATACCTGCTAGTGACATGTACAAAATTTCAAAAGGAACTGGACTTTATATGAGACTTCTAAGGAGCTTAGAAAATGCAGGTTGCATTTATATCTACCTACAGGATTTTTTTCCAATCTTTACATAGCCATTGGAGAATCATTATTAACAACATCTACGCACAGTATTCCTCTTGTAACCAAAGATGCTAATGAGTGTATTTGAATTAGCCTCTCCTGAGAGGGGAGAGTACTACGCTAAAAACTGTGAGATGTATTCTGACCTAAATGGTTGGTAGTAAAGTGTTTGTAGCTTATCTGGTAAAGGAGAGTGAGCTTATCTGTATGAACAGCACAGTTGGTCCATCTTTGGTGGGATGAACTAATGAGTCTTCTGGTCAGTGCCTCCTGTAACACACTGAAGACTGCTGTGTCTTGAGAGTTTCTCTTGATGATCCCCCTTTTCTGAGTTGCTTTTCAGGCTGGAATCCTTGCTCAGATTTTTCTAGTGAGAATATTTACAATATTCTGCATTTATCTAGAAAAGAAGCAAAAGGAAAGTATGAAAACAGTACACAAAATCTGTGTGTCGAATTGATACTTGCACTGGGGGGTTGTTACTTATTTCAGCTGAATTTTACATGATGAATACTTTAAAATAATCACTTTTGGAACTGGAAGGGGGAATCTATAAATGGAAATTTATTTTTGTGTTTTGAAGTTTGAGGGTTTTAAGAACTGCATTTTATGTAAAGATTGTTTATTATAAAGTTGTAGAAGTTACTTGCATCAATTTCAAGTGTTTCTTTTTTGGTTATTTTGAATTACATACCAACATTAGAAATTAAAATCTAATTAGAATCTAAAGTTCCATATTGAGATCTAGAACAGGTTTTATTGATTTGAATGTAAGGTACATACATTCTCTCATGCTCGGAAGTAAAAAGCTGCTATTCCTACTGCTATCCTAAAATAATTGAATTATTGACTTTACTTGACTGTCTTTACCTTATTAATTTAGGTGAGTTTAGGTTAACTTGGGGCCTTTTAGTAAGTATAAGTACTCTTTTCTGAGCCACAATAGGTTACAATCTAGTTTTAGTTATCCCTAAAGGGACACATGAAGAGATTGGGGAAGCTTTAGAGATAAAGACAGTTGCTTAAAGCATGAAAAAGAATACACTCTTAGGAGAGTGGGCCAAAGAATTTGGAGTTTTAACTTAGAACAGAGAGTGTAAGATCTTCCTTCTTAGCCTTGAGGACCACCTTCAGTTTATAAAATATATATATGGGGAAAGGAGATTTTAAATTATTTTCTGAGTCTAAAGAGGACCAACAAGTAGTTAAAAATATTAAGAAAGCTTAATTTTAATGGTCTTTAAGCTTTAGAGTGTCTGAGAATCACCTGGAATATTTGATAAAAATACAGACTTAGGGGGTCATGCTTCTGGCAATTGTGGAATCAACCTTTGTTTCAATTGTCCAGGGACTGATGTAATAGTAGTATTCTACACTTTGAGAAATACCAACTAAGGGAAGAAGGAAGATAGAACTAAGGAAATAATATAGCTTGTCTATTATTTCAAGAGCTTATTCCTTAACATTTAATTCTGATCATGCTCTAGTAGCGTAGGTGATATTAGGTACCTTTTATAGACGAGGAACTCAAGTTTGGATTTGAACCAAGGTATGTGAGAAGTACATAGCCCTTTTCAACTACCACTTGTTGGACTTTATAAAGAGAGATTCTCTTTTTCACAAAAGAACTTTTTGAGCATTTTCTCAAAGATTTCTGGAGGAGGCCGAGGCTTCATCTTCTTAGGAGAATTATGGTTTCCACTGCCTCTCCAGGGCTTTGGCGTGATGCTTTTTTTTTTTTTTTAAGATTTTATTTATTATTAGACAAAACAAGTGGGAGGAGGGGCAGTGGTAGAAGCAGACTCCCCACTGAGCAGGGAGCCTGATGTGGGACTTGATTCCAGGACCCTGGGATCATCATCTGAGCTGAAGGCAGACGCTCAACCAACTGAGCCTCCCAGGTGCCCTGGAGTGATGCTTCTTGTTTGTGCAGATGATTTCTTGTGAGATCTCATCCAGTTTCTGTTACTCTTTGATATAGTTACATAAGGCCCTAAAGATTTGATGACACAATCTCTTGAAGTATTCTAATTGACTTTGTCCCTTTACTAATTTACCTGCCTTCCTCTTCCCTTTCCCGAGAGAGGTGTGTGAGCTGGGGGAGGAGCAGAGAGAGGGAGAGAAAATCTTAAGCAGGCTCCACGCCTAGCATAGAACCTGATGTGGGGCTTGATCTTACAACCCTGAGATCATGACCTGAGCAAAAATTAAGAAGTCGGATGCTTATGGGTGCTTAGGTGGCTCAATTGGTTAAGCGTCTGACTCTTCCTGGGATAGAGTCCTGCCTTGAGCCCACACTCAGTGGGGAGATTGCTTGAGATTCTCTGTCCTCTCCCTCTCTGCCCTGCCCCCACCACCACTCAGGTTCAGTCTCTCTCTCTTTCTCAAAAACGAATAAATCTTTAAAAAAAAAAAGAGAGATGCTTTAACTGACTGAGCCACCTGGGTACCCCTCTAACTTGTCTTTATATTCTCTGATGTGGGAGTTTCTAAAAAAATGCCTTTAGAAAAAAAAGATTTTATTTATTATTAAGAGAAAGTGCAAGTGAGGGGAGAGGGAGAGAGAGAATCTCAAGCAGATTCCATGCTGAGTGTGGACCCCAACTCAGGGCTTGATCTCACAACCATGAGATCATGACCTGAGCCAAAATCAAGAGTCCCATGCTTAACCAACTGAGCCACCCATACGTCCCTCCAAAAATGTGTTTAAGTGTGGAGTTTGGGACAATATTTTAATTTCTTCTGAAAAGTTTATTTTAGGCCAGTACCACATAGTTGTGAATATTAGCATGCCAGCCAAATAATATAATTTGTTATATATATTTTCCATTATAAATGTAAAGGGCAGCATTACTTAAGAACTGTAAAACCTAGACAAAAATCTTTAGATAGAATCCATAATTCTATCATCTGAATGTGATAGGCATAGCATTTTGGTATATTTTCTTTCAGGCTTTTTTAAAACCACATAGCTAAAATCACAGGTAATATGTAATTTGTATCTTTATCTTAAATTTAACATACAAATATTTTCTAGTTAGTCTTCATAACTGAATTATAAAAGTCTGCCCAATAGTTCAGCTAATGCTGTTACTATTTAATGAAGTTGGCCATTATGAGTTGGCCATTATGGTTGGACATTTAGGTTTATAATAAAATACTAAACAGTAGTTTATATACAGTTTCATTAGGTTAAACCATGGACTTTTATTTTGGAATGACAGCATTAATTTCATTTAGTGGATCTCCTCATATTCTAGAGCTCAGATGATTGATTCGATGCTCCTTGTGAAAGGGATAATCCATAATAAGGCCCTTCTATGCACATTATATTTTCTAGAAGTTTTCTTACTAAGAGTAACCTTTCATTAGCAGTACAAAACAAACCTTTGATGTTCCACTATGATCCATTTTACCATTATGAACAACCATCATTTTTTCAACCTTTTAAAATAATTTTTATTTATTTATGAAGGAGAGAGAGAGTGCGCATAAGCAGGGGGGAATGGCAGTCAGTGGGAGAAACAGGCTCCCCGCTGAGCAAGGAACCCAAAATAGGACTCCATCCCAGGACCCTGGGATCATGACCTGAGCCGAAGGCAGCCGCTTGACATTGATTGACATTTCCTGGCTTCAGGTATTATGTTTCAGATTGATACATTGGGGTGTAACAAGAATATTTGGTAAGCCTTTACATATTCATATTACATGCCAGAGATGAGTCTGTTTCTGGGCCCTATTAAAGGAAAAAGCAATTACTGGGAGAAGCACCGGGAAATTACCAACCCCCCAAGGACGCTCAGCATTATCTGGGTATATTCAGTTTATTAGCATCAGCTAGTTACTTATGTTAGAAATTCCACTTTAAGTGCATTCATTCTCTTGTATTAATTATTTTCTTCAAGGTTTATGTCTGCAGTGTGGTCTCAGTGCCTTACAATGCCTGACTTCTCAGTTGCAATAACTAGATAGGATTTCGAAGGTGTTCTTTTTCTCTTTGAAAGTAAGACCACAGTTCCTGAGTATTGGGAGCACCTAGGAATGGGGGGACGACTGGGAAGTGGTGGGAGATAAGAGGGTTGCTGAAGGCAGAACTTTATAGGATACAGAAGGCAGAAGGGCACAAAATGCACTTCACCAAGTACAGTCTAACCTATCTCTTGAAAGTGCATTTACATTTTAACCTGTATTTTATTTTTTAAGATTTTATTTTGAGAGAGAGAGAAGGAGCAGGGGAGGGGGCAGAGGGAGAGGGAGAAGCAGACTCCCCACTCAGCAGGGAGCTAGATATCTCTCCATCCATCCCAGGACCCTAGCTAGGGTCAGGACCTGAGCTGAAGCTGGAGGCTTAACTGACTGAGCCACCCAGTTGCCCACATTTTAACTTTTTAAAAAAGTGTGAATTTAAGTATCATATTTGATTTATTTTTTAAAATATTTTATTCATTTGAGAAAGAGCACGAGTGGAGAGAGGGACAGTGGGGGAGGGAGTGGGAGAAAGAGAATCTCTCAAGCCCACTCCACACTGAGCAGGGAGCCCCATACAGGGTTGGATCTCTCACAACACTAAGGTCAGAACCTGAGCTACTCAGAGGGCCCTCATACTCGCTTTAATAATATTCTCCATTGAATGAGAGGAAGTCAGGAAGAAGGATCTCCTGTTAAAGTTTTAAGGATCTTTTGGTCTTTAGCTCTAGATATCCATTCCTATTGGAGACTCACACATGTCTGGTCTAATTATAAAGGTGCATTTTAACACTGCGGGGGGTGCGGGGGGTGGGTGGGGAAGCAGCACAGGGATTACAGTTGTAATTGTCCCAGAAGGAAAAGGAGTCACAGTGAAAGCAAATGTCATAGGCAAAATCCTTCAAATGTTACGCAATAGTTCATTCCCGTTTAAATTCACCCCACTCTACCCCCTGCCCCTGCCCCAGTGAAAATAACGCGATCCTGTTAAAGAACCACTGCTTTATTTATGTCTCAGATTATCCTTTGTCATTGAAGGCACATGACAGCCATACTACTTTTTGATTGCCGTGGTTTGAAAAGCTGTGTTGTAGAAAGTATCAACTTACTTCCCCCCCAGCCCCACCCCCTTAAGACCTACAGGAAAAAAGCTAAATAAGAAGAGAAGGTGAATCAAATGAGGGAGCAACGCCAACGCCCGGTGTGCATTAATTGACATTTTAGAAAGGCATCCCTAAGAAAAATGTTTTGTTTTTGTATTTTCCTGTGATTCCTCTGCGGGATTCCAGTCCAGGTCTTGGAACCGGCCCTCGAGGGGAATGTCCGGGACTCGCGTTGGTACCTTTTTGGCTTGGGAATTTCCAGTATGCAGAAAAAAAGTCCACAAACCTAGTCGTCCTTGCCCCCTGCCCGCCTCCTCCGCCCCTCCTCCGTGCCCACGCAATCCCTTTCGAGCGGCCGTTTGACTGTATTCTGTATTTTAGAAAATAGGTCCTTAGCTTCCCCCGCCCCCATGCGCTCTAGAGTGCTGAACAGAAAGCGGACGCTATAAAGGGGGACAGGGAGAGGGGCTGGCCCCTTATTGCCACGAGGTCAGACGCCGAGTTTTAGAGAAAGAGGCTGCTTAACTGCTGCTGCTTATCATGTAACCTCAAAAGGAAACTGATCATCTCTCTCATGCTCTCACGT